ACATTGGATTAGGACGAAATGTTGCGAAATATTTCGGTTATCATTCACATCGAAGTATTTCAGAACACATCAACATTCACTAACGTTATTTGATTCCTTAAACCAAACATAAATGTTATACAGATCGTTAAAAATAATATTGTAAATAAAATAAACCGTTCCTGCGGAAGTAGATATTCAAAATATTGATAAGGTACGTGAGGACTATCTGTATAATATTGTCGGACAAAAACAAAAGCGAAGACAAAACGTCCAGTTGTTCTTTTTTAAAAAGAGTCAAACTTGGAAATTTTAGAGTCCGTTCAAATTTTCTCTCTAAGAATCAAGAAAATTAGGTTTTGATTTTAGAAACGAAAGAAATGTTTAATACTCATCATAACTAGAAAAATTTAGGAGCTGGGGATAAATTTACAGTGTGCCTCGCTTTTAATAACTATTTTGCTAGATTTGATTCATTTTTGATAACATTCGACTCTTTCAGCCGCCACTAAATCAATATTTAGGTAATTCTCACATTATTACCTGGGTTGTCTTATTAGGTGTGGAAAGAGCTCTCATTCTAATTTTCTAGTGGTTTCAAATCTGAAAAATCCAATCAGAATATTTTGTACAACTACACATCAGTACATTTCATTAATATTGTATGTTGTTTGATTCTGAGAAGTTACATTTACTTTGCTTTACTCGAAACATTGGCCATTTTTATCATTTTGTCAAAAAAAAAGACAAAAACTTTTCTTTCCACAAAAGAGACCTTTTTAATTAATAGTGTGGCAACAAAATGGGACTTGAAAATGTAATTCGGGAAAAAATTATACCACTTGAAGTAGTTCAGTGAAATTCTGAATTTCTGTAATAACAAATGATGAAAATTATCAAAATGACGCTCTATCATTTTGATTTGACTTTTACAAGCTGTTCTAGATGGGCTCGAAAGCTAACACACACATGACGCTACTAATACTGAATCCTTATGATTTTTAGACAACCCTAATCTTCAAGACACGTGTACAAATTTCCCAGCTGTTGGACTATTAGTTTGTGGGATAGTGTGTGTTGATGAAGCTTTGCTTTTTTGTGAAGAAAATACTGTTGATGCCAAGGTTTGGCTCGATGAACCTTATTCGGACCAGGAAAATCAACCGTTGAGGAGTGTTTTGCTGAGTTTGAACGAGGTGAAATGAGTTCCCGAAGGCAAAAGTCGAAAATCTTGAAAACCTCGCATTCAAGACAAACATTTCGCATATCTACTCCGATAGCGGACCTTCTAGGTAGACAGTANCCCTATTTTAATGGCTCGTTAGCGGCGTCCTCAAAGGGCATAGCGGATAGAAATATCTCAGTGACTTTGTGAATGAATTGAAGTGCCACTTGCTTGATGTTGCTTTGATGTACCGCCATGTTTGCATTCTTGAAATTCTTTCACTCCCAGACAATACCCAATGGACTATAGATGATGAAAAAGCAAGTGACTTTTAATAGAATGGAAAACAAGGAAGTTGAACTCAGACAAATATTTGATTTCTTTTCAGCCGATATTAACACTTCACCACATTTGTCATTGCATAAGCAAAAAATAGACAGCAGCTATATCAAAATTTTTAATAAATAAAAAAATCTACATAAAATGTTCAATACATTGGATTAGGACGAAATGTTGCGAAATATTTCGGTTATCATTCACATCGAAGTATTTCAGAACACATCAACATTCACTAACGTTATTTGATTCCTTAAACCAAACATAAATGTTATACAGATCGTTAAAAATAATATTGTAAATAAAATAAACCGTTCCTGCGGAAGTAGATATTCAAAATATTGATAAGGTACGTGAGGACTATCTGTATAATATTGTCAGAAAAAAACAAAAGCGAAGACAAAACGTCCAGTTGTTCTTTTTTAAAAAGAGTCAAACTTGGAAATTTTAGAGTCCGTTCAAATTTTCTCTCTAAGAATCAAGAAAATTAGGTTTTGATTTTAGAAACGAAAGAAATGTTTAATACTCATCATAACTAGAAAAATTTAGGAGCTGGGGATAAATTTACAGTGTGCCTCGCTTTCTATAACTATTTTGTTAGATTTGATTCATTTTTGATAACATTCGACTCTTTCAGCCGCCACTATATCAATATTTAGGTAATTCTCACATTATTACCTGGGTTGTCTTATTAGGTGTGGAAAGAGCTCTCATTCTAATTTTCTAGTGGTTTCAAATCTGAAAAATCCAATCAGAATATTTTGTACAACTACACATCAGTACATTTCATTAATATTGTATGTTGTTTGATTCTGAGAAGTTACATTTACTTTGCTTTACTCGAAACATTGGCCATTTTTATCATTTTGTCAAAAAAAAAGACAAAAACTTTTCTTTCCACAAAAGAGACCTTTTTAATTAATAGTGTGGCAACAAAATGGGACTTGAAAATGTAATTCGGAAAAAAAATTATACCACTTGAAGTAGTTCAGTGAAATTCTGAATTTCTGTAATAACAAATGATGAAAATTATCAAAATGACGCTCTAGCATTTTCATTTGAGTTTTACAAGCTGTTCTAGATGGGCTCGAAAGCTAACACACACATGACGCTACTAATACTGAATCCTTATGATTTTTAGACAACCCTAATCTTCAAGACACGTGTACAAATTTCCCAGCTGTTGGACTATTAGTTTGTGGGATAGTGTGTGTTGATGAAGCTTTGCTTTTTTGTGAAGAAAATACTGTTGATGCCAAGGTTTGGCTCGATGAACCTTATTCGGACCAGGAAAATCAACCGTTGAGGAGTGTTTTGCTGAGTTTGAACGAGGTGAAATGAGTTCCCGAAGGCAAAAGTCGAAAATCTTGAAAACCTCGCATTCAAGACAAACATTTCGCATATCTACTCCGATAGCGGACCTTCTAGGTAGACAGTAGAACTTCATATACGTGTATAACTTATCATTAGGCACTCAAAACAATAACTGTATAAATATAGTTTGTATAATATAAGTTTGTAAGTGGAAAACATGATGCCCATGTTTCAATACAAATATATGACAAATTCTATAGCTATACTCTACATCTTTATGCTTAGGTATACATAAATAATATACTTACTCTTACGTTTCTAGAGGGTACGCTTGGATCGCCGACCCATACGAATAATGCACACGTAATACAAATACTGAGAATGGAGCAAATACATTGCGTTCCAGAGAGGTGTCAATTTTGTTATTCCCAACGAATGCATGTACCGAAGAAGAAAATTGTCATGAAAGTCAGTTTGTCACAGTCTGGAAATGAGAAAATCTCATATATGGTGCTCACACTTAAAAAAAATATATATCTACGGGAAAAGGGGTAATTCAGAAGTAAATATATCAGTTGGATTCATTTCCCTCACGGTGAATTTAAAAAACTAGTGGGACAAGTTTTGATACGTCTGCTCTTGTGAAGCAAAGAGGTAACCTAATCAATACACGAATGAAATGCAAACTCAAAACTATCATTTGGAACGAATATGACTTTCGTTGAATTCATTTTTTTTGAGACCTGCCAAATTCGGGTGAAATAATAGAGATTTATTACCACAATTTAATTCAGTTATGTTTCATTCCAAATTGTTCGTGCTAGTGGATAATCTGATGGTAACCATCTTTAATGGATCTAACAATGTGGCAACAGAAAAAAAAGTCCATCAGTGTTTTTCTATAGAAAAAAAGTGGGTCTACAGAATTTTCTGTTGGAACTTTCGCTGAAGCTTTTCTCTCTCTACGTTTTTATTAGTGAGCTCAGAAAAAACCGTTCTGGTGAATCAAAGAAAGTTGCTTTTGCTCTAACGTAGTTAGTTCAGGAAATTCGGCTGTATTTGAACAATGGAAGTTGGAGTGGATTCAGGAAAATGTGTTTATTTCTGAGGTGTATTCAGAAAAAAGCAAGAATGCTCAGGAAAATCGCTCTATCGAAACAATGGAACATACTTTTCCAAGGGAAAAGGCCCTTTAATTCTGAACTTAGTGCTTTTTCTCTACTTAAAGTGTATTCAGAAAAAAGCTTGTTGAAATGTCAGCTAATTAATTAATCTATCTAATCACTGATCATGGGAGTCTCAGAAAAAATTGCTTTGTTGGCTACCACTTCTATCTCCTGCTCTAATGATCCAGGTAGTTTTAAAATATATCTTTTGAGAATGCCCCAAACACTTTTCTCTATTTTGAAAAGGTGAGTTCAGAAAATTTCCTTTTGAAACTTTTGGTAATGCTTTTCTCTTGCTACTTTTCAATTAGAGGCAGCTCAGGAAAAACCGCTCAATTGAGAAAATGGAAAATACTCTTCCATTCAGAAGTTAGAGTGGATTCAGGAAAATGTGTTTTTTCTTAGGTGTATTCAGAAAAAACTAAGAGTGCTCAGAAAAATAGCTCTATTGAATCAATGGAAAATACTCTTCCATTCAGAAATTAGAGTGGGTTCAGGAAAATGTGCTTCTTTCTGAGGTGTATTCAGAAAAAAGCGAGAGTGTTCAGAAAAATCGCTCTATTGAAACAATGGAAAATATTCTTCCATTTAGAAGTCAAGAGTGGATTCAGGAAAATGTGCTTCTTTCTGAGGTGTATTCAGAAAAAAGCGAGAGTGTTCAGAAAAATCGCTCTATTGAAACAATGGAAAATACTTTCCCATTTCAAAGTTAGAGAGGACTCAGAAAAATTTCCCTTAATTCTGAACCCAGTTTTTGTTTCTATCTGAAGTGTAAAGTTCACTCTATTTAATCACTGATCATGATAGTCTCAGAGAAAACTGCTGTGTTTAGAGGGCTGCCACTTTTTTTTCAGCTCTAATAATAACAAGATGGCTTCAGAAAATATCCTATTGAAACTTTTAGTAATGCTTTTCTCTTTCCACTCTCTTATAAGAGTGAGTTCAGAGAAAAATTGACAGACATTTTCTTTCTCCAACAAAATAGGCTCAGAAAAAAATGGCTGTATTGAGGTGAAGGAAAATTGCCTTTCTCTGCTCGAAGTGAGCTAAAATTGCAACTAATTCTTTTTTCTACCTATAATTAGAGTGGCATCAGAATTTTTTTTGTTGAAATTGTGGCTAAGGCTTTTCTACATAACAGACAGTGTGGGATCAGAAAATTCTGTATTAAAATTGCAGCAATTACTCTTCTATAGTAACCAGAGTAGGCTCAGAAAAAAAATCTCTATTGAAATGGTAGCCAATGACGCTGAAAGTGAAAAAACTCTTGAAAATTTCAACCACTCATGCTGGTGGAATGTGGAAGGAAATAAAAGTATTTCAGTAACACCAAAAAGCAGGTGTATAACGACAATACCAAAAAAAGTCCGACTTATTTTACCAAACGATCATTCGAAATGAAAACGTGAATCCTTAGTTTTGGAATAGTTGATTCGCAGAAGATGAAATGAGAAGGTTTGTCACTTTTTTGTTGCTGAATCCTCTATCCTTAAAAATAAAACAATTCTATAAAAACAGCTGCTTCTGAATTGAATAAATCAATTGTTATAAAAACATTTCTCTCCAAGAAATTATATTTGATTACTACTTCTTCTTCTACATGTGCCTTCTCGCCAAAATTGACACTTCTCGTTTAAACCTACAAATTTAAAGCACTATAAATAGGACTGCAATGTTAGAGTCAGTGCAGAAGACTGTCCGCCAGGACCCTGTGATATGTTCCTAACACTAAACTACCATTGCCAATATCTACCAGTTACCGTGGAAGGGAGCCCATTTTGACAAATCAATTCAAGTCGCCCAGCAATTTCCGATACAAAACTTATCATAAGTAGGGTCAACTCTTGAATCAGCATTTTTTAAACTCATACCAGCACTTTTTAAACTCAAAGGGACACTTCTTAAACTCAAAGCGTCATTTTCTAAACTCATACCAGCACTTTTTAAACTTATACCAGCACTTTTTAAATTCAAAGCGGCACTTGAAACATCAAATGTAAGAGAAAAGAGATATTCATAGCTTCATAGGAATGAAAAGTAAATCTGCTTCATTTAAGCGTAATTTTGAATGGGGAATTCAAGAAAACGTGCTTTTTTACATTGAAATAAATGTATTACTAATAGTCCTGGCCATGTTATTAACCGGTTAACCAAAAAATACGTAAAATTGATAGCTTCTGACAAAAAAGCTACGTATAACTGTATGGAGTCGGTAAAAAAATGGTGTTGTTGTTATACTACAAATTCCAACATACCACTACAGATTCAGCCTGTATAATATACTAGTAACCGGTTAATTAATTAAAAAAATGAAAGAAAATATGTAAAATCAAAAGGCTGATAGCTCTGTGTGAATAAATTACTTTTCAGGTACTCAAAATTGGTTTTGAGTAAAGATTTTGAGGAAACCAAAGGAATTATATGGTTGTAGCTTCTTAACCGGTTAATGAAAAACAGTAACACTGTTAAATTCGAACTTTAGGGTATTCGAAAACAGTTTTAAATGAAATATTTACGAAAATAAGTTACTTTTCTACCAAATCTAAAATATAACAACAATTTGTAACTGTAAAATGAATATAGTCGTACATAGAAATAAAAATATTTTCTGGTCCTCTTAAAAGTAGATTTGAAGGTAGAATTTGAGAAAACTTGTTGTTTTCCACCGACATAGCTCATAGCGCTATGTAAATAAATAACTTTTCAGGTCAAACCTGTCAAAAGTGGTTTCAAGTTTAGAATTCAAGGGAACCGAATGGGATATATTACTATAGTTTCTTAACCGGTTAATAAAAAAAAGTAACACTGATAAATTCATAGAATCATTACTTTGGGATGTTTGAAAGCAGTTTTGAATGAAATAGTCACGAAAATATGTTATTTTTCTACTGAATCCGACATATCACTACAATTTTTGCCAGCAAAATAAATGTAAGGGTAGCCGGTTAATAAACAAAATGAATTAAACCGAGAAGCTCATGGCTCTATGGGATTAAAAAAAACTTTACTGCTTCTCGTCAACATAGCTTTGAAAGAAGAATTTGTGGAAATATGTTATTCTTCTAGCAAACTACATATATTTCTTCAGTATTTTGACCGGTTAATAAAGAAAAACAGTAAAACCAATAAGTTCAAACAAAAAAAAAAACAGTAAAACTGACAAGCTCGTGAGAGAGAAAAGCTATTTTCCTGCTCTGATCGAAAGTAGTTTGTATAATATTCTATTGACCGGTTAAAAAAAAATATCAACTTGACAATGCCTTTTCCTGTAGAACATGTTCCTTTGTTTTTACAGAAAAACTACGTTTATATACGAGAAACCAATATTTAAATATTTCCCAGAGTTAATTTCTCCAACTCAAGCATTTTCCTGAAGAATATCGTCACCGAATCGACAAAATGGGCGACCCTTCCACGCGTTGAAACGCCTCATAGGTAATTTTACACATAAATTATTTTGGTATCCTCCGTATCGCTACTCCCCCGTTTCATAAATCTATCGAGTAGAGATACTATACAGATTCTGGCTCAAAACCCCACCCTTTTTCTTACGGTGCTTATGGTGATGACGTCATCACTTTCTCCCTCATACACTCTTCCTTTATGCATCGTATCGCTCTTACACTCGTGTCACACCTAGCTCGAGTTGGGTGTTCCACAAGGTTTCGCTCGGAGGTCTGAAATTTCTCGAAGTGAGGCACCGCAAGAAAAATCATGGAATTTCGAGCCAGAATCTGTATAGTACCTTTACTCTATCGGAATATAACGACCGCTCCTCCGCCCTCTCATTACGTAAACTAAAAAAACAGTACAAAATTACTTTGGTCTTTACAAAATACTAAAAAGTGGAAATATACTCAGTGCGTCCGCTCCGGCCTCATTTGCCGTGCTCGTTGCTGCTTTCGGAATGATCAGAGTTATTGTTGACTTTCCCGCCTTCGGGCCTCTCCTTCTTGATGATCGTAATGTCGGGGCAGTGCGCCAGCGTCGAGGAGCTGTTGCTAGACCCGACGAGGCTCTTGAACATCATCGTGTTGTTCATCGGCACGTCGGGCAGGATGGAATCGGCCTCCTCGTCCGAGTCGTCGTACGACTCGCCTGCGTTCGACTGCCTGCTGGAGTTGGCGTCGGACGTGTCGAGCTGAGACATCGAAATCAGGTAGTTGGAGAGCGTCTGGGGCGTCACGTTGAGCTGTTCGGCGGCTCGGAACAGAGTTATCTCTTTCCGCTTCAGCTTGAGCAGCACGTCGGTGGGGCCTTGCTCTGTCCAGAAGTCCCGCACTCTGCAACAACACAAGCGGATGTTAGAAAGTGAGCCCCGTTTTTGACATATCGTTACAGATTGCTTGGAAAATATCTTTCCCATTTCTCTAGATTTTTTTCTGTTGCAGCAGTTCACTTGCTCTCACTAGTCACAACTTTCTTTCGTCACCAAGCCCTACACTCATTTGCAACCTCTCGAGACATATCGGTTATTCACTTTCGCACAATTTGATTCCTGAATCGTAAAAACAGATATTCAGTTTATTTCTATCTTTCTCTCTCTGCAGCCTTTCACCTATCTCCTTTTTCCATTCCCACTGCCTCATTATCGCTATGCATTCTGAATCAACTTCTCTTTCAATGTTTCTGTGGTCTCAACCCCCTTTTTACACCATTTTTCATTCAATTTCCACTCTCAATCTTCTGTGGCAAACGGATACAACCAACGCCAACTTCCTTTCTCTCAATTCAACTGACCGTTCCACTTTTATTATATGTTCTTGGACTCGTTATGCTTTTATCATTTATTACTCTTTTATTCTTTCGAAATGTTTACTACAAACCCTTTTTTGTGAGACACAAACCCTTCTCTCAGTCTCACTGTTTTTCAAAATAATAAGATTATTTCAAAACTCAGTCTCTTCCACTATTTTTATGGTTTCACTGTGATCTATTTCAAAGCATGAGGTCTTCTTGATTTCTCTTTGAACATTCTAATTATCTCCCTAAAAATCCACGAACTCTCTCTAGACTCTCTTGCTTGTAACTTCAACTATTTTTCTGCTCATTTTTTTTTGTCCTGGTATATGGTTGTTACTTTTATACTGCTTTTCTATGCCCATGCTCTCTTTCTTTTTAGACCAATGACTCTCACTTTCATGCTGATTGATCTATGCCCATGCTCTCCTTCTAGAGCAATGATTCTCACTTTCATGCTCTATGCCCATGCTATCTTTCTTTTTAGACCAATGATTCTCACTTTGATGCTGCTTTATCTATGCCCATGTTCTCTTTGTAGACCAATGATCACTTTTATGCTGCTTTCTCTATGCCCATGCTATCTTTCTTTCTATACCTATGATTCTCACTTCCACGCTGCTTTATCTATGCCCATGTTAACTTTCTAGACCAATGATTCTCACTTTCATGCTGATTGATCTATGTCCATGCTCTCTTTCTTTCTAGACCAATGATTCTCACTTTCATGCTGCTTTCTCTATGCCCATGCTCTCTTTCTTTCTAGACCAATGATTCTCACTTTGATGCTGCTTTAGCTATGCCCATGTTCTCTTTCTTTCTAGACCAATGATTCTCACTTTTATGCTGATTTCTCTATGCCCATGCTATATTTCTTTCTATAGTAATTATTTTCACTTTCATGCTGCTTTCTCTATGTCCATGCTCTCTTTCTTTCTAGACCAATGATTCTCTTTCATGCTGATTGATCTATGCCCATGCTATCTTTCTTTCTAGACCAATGATTCTCACTTTCATGCTGCTTCCTCTATGCCCATGCTCTCTTTCTTTCTAGACCAATGATTCTCACTTTGATGCTGCTTTGGCTATGCCCATGTTCTCTTTTTTTCTAGATCAATTATTCTCACTTTCATGCTGCTTTCTCTATGCCCATGCTATCTTTCTTTCTATACCTATGATTCTCACTTCAACGCTGCTTTATATATGCCTATGTTCTCTTTCTAGACCAATTATTCTCACTTCTATACTGCTTTTTCTATGCATGCTATCTTTCTTTTTAGACCAATTATTTTCACTTTCATGCTGCTTCCTCTATGCTCATGCTCTCTTTCTTTCTAGACCAATTATTCTCACTTTCATGCTGATTTATCTATGTCCATACTCTCTTTCTAGACCAAAGATTCTCACTTTCCTGCTGCTTTCTCTATGCCCATGCTATCTTTCTAGACCAATGATTTTCACTTTCATGCTCTCTTTCTAGACCAATGATTCTATTTCATGTTGCTTTCTCGCCCATGCCCTTTATCTAGACCAACAATTCTCACTTTCATACTGTTTTCTCTATGCCCATGCTCTCTTTCTAGACCAATGATTCTCACTTTCATACTGTTTTCTCTATGCCCATGCTCTGTTTCTAGACCAATGATTCTCACTGTCATACTGCTTTCTCTAAGCATGCTATCTTTCTTTCTAGACCGATCATTTTCACTTTCATGCTGCTTTATCTAGACCAATGATTCTCAGTTTCATTTTCATGCTGCTTTCTCGTCAATGCTCTCTATCTAGACCAATGATTCTCACTTTCATGCTGCTTTCTCTATGCCCATGCTCTTTGTCTTGAGCTCTCTCTCTCTCTCTAATTTCAATCTTTTCCACACGTCTTCTCCCGTCGCCAGAGGACAACACAACAAAAAACTGTAATTCCTAAGTGTTCAAATTACCTCTTTACCTCAACGAGCCGACCTAGTGGTGGAGCACCGATAAGTCTCAAATGAAAGTTCTCTCACCTATAAGGGTGCTTGAGACACCCGTACGAGTCCCTGTATCTGCCGTAGAGCGTACCGTACGAGACTCCGAGCAGTTCGGCGGCGACTTTCATCTCCAGATTTTTCGTCTTGATCGCGTCCATGACGCGCTTCGTGAAGGGCTCTTCCCAGAACTGCTGTCTGCGCCCCGTGTTCAGGTAGTCGTTCATCTTAACTACGTCCGGCCATTCTTTCTCTAGCGCCGGCGTCAGGAAAGATTGCGTGCCGGACGTAGTTACGTTCGCGGCTGCGGAAGAAGCATTGCTCGAGCAGCTCTTGTTCGTCGACATGTTGAACTTGTTGACTTCTTTGGAATCGTTGGCGGAGAACGAGGGGTCGCTCTGCTCGTCGATCATCAGGTCGTCTTCTTGAGGCTGGAATTCACAAATGGATTCATTATTTTTTCACCTATGATTGCGAAAACATCAAGAAGTCAAAGGAAAAAAGAAGATGTGTCACTGAAAAGGGCCGCACCGCAAAATAATGAGAATATTACGAGGGTGTATGGAAAGTTTCCGACTTCAACATGTAGATGGCAGCACTCGTAGAGGAAAGCTATTGAACTTCGTTGTTCGTCTGGCGAATATAATAATATTAATAATATTTATTTGCAGTTCCATATAAATTCAATAAATATACAATCTATAAAAATGAT